GATAGAGATATAAATGGTGCTCGTAATATTCTCCTACGATATCTTACAAAAAAGGAAAAGGAGTCAGCTTAGGCTGGAGTGGGAGCCTATTCCCTTACAGGACTTGTTATTGCCTAATTTAAACTTTGCGTAATGTGGGATTTTTGTTAGTAATGATAGGTTTAATGTAGGCGTATGTGTTTTTAATCATTTATTATATTATTATTTTTTTTTTAAAAATCTTTTAATACATAAAAATATTTACATTTTAAAAATTTGATAAACAAAACCTCTGTTAAAAAAGGAAATTTTTTTTTTAAAAAAAAAAAATCACGTTTTTAAATAAATACATAAGTTAATAACCATAAGTAATTATTGGAACTACCTAACTTATTATATTACATTTAAATCACAAGGGAAAAAAAAAAAAAAAAAACCATTCGTTAAATTATTTTTTTCTGTTTAATTGACCTCCCCCCTCCCAAAAAAATTTTAAATTAAAAACAGACATTTATATATATTTTTTTTTTAAAAAAAAAATTGCGTGAATCATAAATTTTAATATCTGTAATTTCCATCATTTATATCGTTCAATATATTATTATTCCAAACATTATTTTCGCTAGGATTATTATAATTACCGTCGGCATTACGATTATGCATTAAATTATCATCCATGGAATGGGAATGATAATATTGTCGCGTGGTAATATTATCTTGTTGTTGCTGTTGTACATTATCATTATAATAATTCTTATTCATGATATAATCAATATCATCTGTTAGAGCAGTTATGGGTGGCAATCTCAGTGAATTATTATTTTTAGTTGGTATTAATTGCGGTGAACTAGTTAATACACCTTCATTATTCAAAAATGTAGTATTAGTATTTGAACGGGAAGTTACAGGCAATGAATTAGTTTTTGTTATGCCATCATTGTTGTTGTCATTAGGTTTAGAAGGTAATTGAAAATGTACGGGTCTAGGACTTAAAGTAAATTGCTGAGTAAAGCTAGGTGTATCATTGTTACCCTTATTACTATTGTTACCATTGATATAACTATCTACAGATGAATTATTTTGATTTAGAGATGTTAATGGATGATAGTGATAGGATGAATGTAATTGTTTATTGTCAAATGAGGTTTTCGGAGTAGGTAACTGATTGGAATGTGATGATGATGCAGTGGATTGATGATGTTGGCTTTGATGATACATGTTATGATTGCCGTCATCGCTACGTCCCATATAAGGTAATGTACGAGATCTGACTGGAGTTTTTGGTGGTGGACGATGAAAATATGAAGTTGCAGGAGGTTGAGTTTGTTGCGTCGTTATCGACGTTGTCATCGATGTTGTAGGATAATGAAAAGATTCCAAGGATGTAGTAACAGTAGAAGAAGAAATTGCAGGCGGTAATGTATCAAAAGAATGATGACGAGTAGGAGGAAGCGAAGAATGATGGGTAAATGAATGAGAAGTTGAAGTGTTAGTAGAGGCGGTAGCGTAAGAAGATTGATGTTCTAATAGAGGAGGTAGGGTAGTCCTTCTCTCCGTTGTACGATACGATGATGGAGGTGGAAGAGGAGGGGAAGCGGTAGTATGATGATGATGGTTAGTGAATTGGTTATTGTTCAAAGGTGCCGTCGTCGATGGTTGTCGATAATCATATGACATAACTTCGGGATTGGATAATCTTGGGCGTTTATTTAATGCTGATCGTTCATGATCATTGTTATCATGATAAGATGGAGACGATAACATGAGGTCAACGGATGAGGATTGAATAGACTTATGTTCATCATGGGATTCGTGTTCAGAATCTTCATAATATGAGCGCTGACGCTGGGGCGGTATATGTGATTGCGAGTAACCTAACGGAGGAGGATATGATAATGCACCACCCCTTTGCCTAGAAGGAAACCGTGGATGAGATGACGCGTAAGGTGGGTAATACGTGGAAGGAGCAGCATCCATCATGTCCATTGAAGGATTTGCATGCGTAGGTGTTGAAATTGACAGCAATTGCATTGGATTACTTAAGCTCCTCTTTCTTTTAATAGAAAATTCCCCAATTCCATCATCATTCATATTATCATCTTCACCTTCAGCGGTATCAGATTGTCTATTATTGGACTGCGGACGTTTCATTTGAATACGATGTTCTTTACGAATTCTTATCCTTACACCTTGATCTGAAAAAGATCTTGATAAAAATGTTGACTCTGACATTCCGGGAAATGTCTTGGATGAATAAACTGTAAATACATCTGATATCGTTGATTGTATATGAACAACCTCATCCCTTTTCAAAATGTATCAAAAGAAGTTAGTTTTCGCCTTTCGTAATGAAATACAAGCTGGTTGATATTTCGTACCTTACGATTTCGAACAAACTAAACCTTAAACGATAACGACCCTCGGCACGTACGGATATATCACCAAACACAAAAAATCCACCATCTACCAATGAATGCGAGTTAGTATGATTATGCGTTATTAAAAGTGAAATTTTTTTTTTTAAAAAAACGGTAAGCCTACCATTATTATCGATGTCTTTTAATTTGTGCAAGGAGGAAACAACGGTACCAGCAAGATAACGCGAAGAGATGGTAAAACTTTCACTGTTATCTGTTGGATGCACAAGGTTTGCACACATAAAATAATAAGGACTTTGGAGGAAATTTCTACGATGTGGCAAAAAGAAGAAGGTTAGACGGATCAAATCAGTTGGGGATTTTAAAACTCAGATTCAATCATTAATCGATTGGCCTATCAGAAATTAATCCGAATCGAATGGCTGTAAGATTCTTACTGAGCTTCGTCACCATAACCATCTACCTTTAGTTGAATAATTGGAGGTGGATCAACAGGTCTTCGATCTAATATCAATCGAGACAGAAAGGGTAAGTTTTTTTTTTTTTTTTTGAAAATAAAAGAAAAAGTAAAAAGAAACAGAATGGATTAGATGCATACCTCGTTCTTTCGAACTACATAATCGAGCTTGTTTAGGCTGTTGCCGTATAACAAGTTGATATTGATTACTGTGAAAAATATGGAAAAGTTTCGAGTTAATGACCTTCAATCATGGTGAGAAAGTTAAGAAACCCAAAAGACGTAAACTTTACCTATCAAGCGACAGCTGACGATTCGATGTACTTACGAAATTGTACGTGTTTAATACCGTATTTTTTGACATTATAAATAAAAACTAAGAACTATAAAAAGAAGTTGATGAATCCAGTCTCCTTGGCTGTATTATTATTATATATATAACAAATTATATATCTCTTTCTTAAATTATTTCTAAATTTCTTTTCAATCCTCAAAAATATTTTTTTTTAGGAATGAGCGTGTAGGTATGAAGTACGATTTTTTTTTTAAAAAAAAAACAAATACGAATGAGTAGGTAAAGGAATGTTTAATAAGGTTTTTTTAAAAAAAAGCTCGTTACTATATATATATATATATAAAAAAAAAAAGAAATTTTAATAGAGTTGCTTTTCTTTAAAATGTTTATCTGGTCCTTGAATTCCTTTGATATCAAAAAAAAAAAAAAAGGAAAAAGAAAATATATATATATATATATATATATTTCGTTATAAATCTTTTGAAAGAAAGAAAAGATTTTTAGCTATCAAGAAATATGAAAAAGATAAAAGATGAAAAAAATTTTTTTAAAAAAAAGATATAATTTTTTCAAGTTTGGAAATATAAAAAGGAATGTCGGATGAGTTATGGTGACATCAAGGAGGTGAAATAATCCGTTGAACGTTGAAAAGAACTGAAAAGAAAAAAAAAAAAGGTAGTAAATTTTTTTTTTTTTTTTTTTTTAAGATGTTATATTAAAAACAGGTTTATTGTAATAAAATAAATAAAAAAAAAAAAATGGGCAAATCCGTACCAATTAGTTGATTTGGTAATAAGGAAAGTTGAAGTAATAATCTACAATAATTTAAAAAAAAAAAAAATACAGTATTTATAGTATTTGCTTGTATCATAATGGGAATGAGCAAAACCGAGAAATGCTTATCAAACTTGCAGAAGGTTTAGGTAAATTTTAAGTGAAATTGAATGATTAACCATTTACCCGGTATGTATAATCGAGTTTCATCAAAAAATTTTCTTCGATTTACTGCGCGAACCGCACTACTTTTGGTTATTCAAATAGCACCTCTTTGCATTGGATGAACCGTTTTTGGTTAAAAAGTAATGAATTGTTTGTTACACGTTTGTTGAGAGCATTGGGATTGAAGTAATTTTTAATTGTTTTTTTTTTTTTTTACAAAAAACTGTGCAAATGAGATATTTAAAATGGAAATTTCTAATCACTCTTACATTGGTTTTGACAAGTTTACATAATTCCTTGCATGAAGGCATTTTGTCATCATGCAGGTAAGAAACATTCCAAATCTTATCATTGGTTTTATTGTGGGGATCGGAAAAATTTAGGAAAAATCAAACCTTTTCTCCATTATGGACCTTTTTTTACAATAATCCGAATATATATATCAACCATTACGTTTTTAAACCACTAGAAAATCATCGACATCATTATTTATAACAAGTCAATCCAAATTCAAAAAAAAATCTCATGTTGAGAATCATTTCACCATATTCGATGCACAAGACATGTCGGATTTTAATTCTTTTTTCTCCACTCTTTCTCTTACAATAAGGAGTTTATAGTCGGGTATTGAACACATGTTGAGCTACCAAGCATAATGTACTGTATTGATGACAATTCTTCTATGCACCTTGTAATCTTACCCGTAATCTGACCTTGTTTTATTGTTATTGTCGATAAAATAATGCATGCAATGTCTGAATTCAAAATTATTGGACTCAAGGTGTCACAGTGAAGTAATGTTTCTAATTTCGTCGATTCTTTACCTGGTACGTTCCTTCTCGTCTAAAAAATATTTATCTTTATTTTTTATTTATTTTACTTAACTTCGGTTACTAAAAATTTCCTTATCTCGATATAGCGGCTTGCTTTGCGTTGCACGTTCCCAGCTCAATGTTTATTTAATAATATTTATTGCCCTTTTTATGTAACGGTTTACACGGATTTATCGCATTTATAATCATCTGGTAACGGAAATAAAATAAAAAAAGAAAATCTATATTTAGTTAATAAGGTAATCAAAAATCTTTTTGATTACAAAAGAATTTCCGGTTCTTTTTTTTTTGTTCAATTATAAATAAAAATTTTTTCAGAGTCAACAAATGACAATCATTACGAAAATCAAATTGGTATTGCGTAATATATTATTAACTAGGAAATGGAAACCATTGTAAGTCCGGAGCGAATAAAAAATGTTCGGTGTGACACGGGGTGACACGGGGTAACAAGTAACTTGTTCATTAAAAAACACCGGTAATAGTGGGTTTTTGGTAATTATACAGAGATCAATTAATGAAAAGTTATTAAAAAACATTATTTAGAAACATAAAATAGAAAAAATAAATATTTGTACTGTTGTAATAAAATATAATAATAGAACTTTTCTTTAGCACATGACTACTGAATCAATCGAAGCACATAATGGATAATAAACCTGTCTATAGCAACACTCTTTGAAACATAGAGCCAGAGAGAACAAAACACCTGAGCAACACAAGACACATATTGCAAAGCAGCATGAGAAAGCCCAGCAAAAAAAGCAAGGGTGAGAGGTATGTCTTGAATGTGATTGTGACTAAAAACATGTAAAATTAGTAAAAACTGAATAACAATGAGAAAAACGTCTAAATAACGAAAAGTCATATGGCCAACTTGAATAGTACGAATCCATAATAGAATCAAGGTAAGAATCTGCAGCAACAAGTTTCCAGAAAACTACAGTAAATAGAAATCTGCTGCAAAAACTTAACAGTAATGCAGATACACCAATTATTACTAATAAATTTGGTGAAGTTGAACAAGATCTTTTGCGAAAGTTTAGCAATAAGTTTGATAAAGTATATACTTTGCCTGTATGTAATGAGAATTTTCTGTTCATAACACTTGACAGGAAAATGCTATCATTATTAACTTGAGAAAATATTAGCCAAAAAAATTGTCAGAAAATAACATGAATTCAGATGAAATATTTACCTCCAAATTTTCAGTAGAAAATAACATAGATCCAGGTGAAATACTGAAGAATTGTAAAGACTCAAAAAAATTAAGAAAATGTTAATTGCATGAGTTTTCTCTATAATATCAGTATACAGATTCAGGGAAAATAATACAGATACTACAGAAATATAATCAATTTTTCTCAAGATATATAAAAATTTGCAACTTACCTTTCTTGATATCCATCACTATTAGATGTACTTGCTATAATTATCAATCTGCAAGTAATTCAGCAGCATTTAAACAGTTCAATGTTTATCTTACTAAGGTTATTTATGATCATTTATATATTAAGTTAATTAAAAGAAAACAATTATTACTACACTGACATTATTATTAATAATAAAGTTTTTTAATCCTTACCTGCTAATAGTTTTATTAATAACTAGCTTAAGAAAACTTAAATAAATATTGAAAACTTAGATGAAGAAAATAAGAATAATATGATTATATATTTTTTATTCTATTTTTTCTTCAACTCATCACAAATATATTGTTATTCAAAATACTCTTAATTGTATATAAAATAAAAGTAATTCTATAGAATAATCATAGATCATTAATAACTCTATCAATAAATTTCAAATTTTAAATATATTGCACATATATTTTCAATTTTATATTCAACTAAATGCATAAATTTTTATGCAGAATAAATTATTAAAATTTTGACTACTAAATACTTTAAGTACTTGCTTTTCTATAAAGATAGAAGATTTATACAATATACTTATTAATGGTATTTTACATTGAATTTTTATATGAGATAACAAGCATTATAAGAAGAAAAGGTATATATTAAACAAAGGTTAACTAATAATAAATGACAATTACAAATATTTAAAAAAGAATATTTAAGATGATTATACTTCAATATAAATTGATAATTACTGATTAAATTGTATTTGACAGACATAATTATTTTATTAATAATTTATAATAAATGTTAAATTAATATAATTAATTTTGATATTATCAAAATTAATCAGTATTAAAGTATAAAAGTTATAAGTATTTTACTAATAGAATCATGTAATTTAATAAAAGATTATGCAAATCTTAGTAATTTTAGTATGTAAAATGCAATTAATTATTAGATATAATTAAACAAATAGATTTATAAATTTTAATTTTCTTTATATATAGTATTATAATTTATATTAGTTTGAGCTATATAATCTTATACTTTCTAATGCTAATTACTAAAATCCTTATATTACTGTTTAGTTTTTTAATAAGTATTTTAAAACTTTTTTTAAAGATATTATAATAAAATAATAGGATTTGAAAAATAGATTCAAATGATAATATCATAATAAATAATATATATATAAAATCAGAATAATATAAATATACTTATAATAGAATAGAAGGAAATAAAGAAAAATAAAGTATAATGAATAATATAATACAATATTTTGATATTTTAATTATTATAATAAATTTAAGACTTAATAATTCTAATTTAATAGCATTTATATCAAATACCTAGTAATAAATTATGTAATAATTAGTAAAATTATATTAATTTAGTTAATAAACTACAATAACATACATAATGCAATCTTGTAAATTGTATTTATATTAAATATAGATAAAAATACTGTAGTTTAGATATTTCAAAGAAAATGATGAATATATTTTATGCATAATAATGATCATAGTTAGCCTGAGCTTATAACAAAAAGAAATAATCTATTTATCAATTTATATAACAGATTTCAACTGTAAAATTAGCAAGCAATGTTGATTTAAAGTTGATTTTGAGTAAGCATATAGTTTTACAATATTTCTTAAAATATATAAGTAAAATAAAATCACAGTTTACTACATTTTTAGAAATATCAAACTAATATTGAAATAAAAGTAAATCTAATAATTTGATATTTAGTTTATCCTAAAAACTACTAATATATATTATTACAAAGCGTAATATTTTAACTTAAAAAACTTTTTGGTTTTTTTTTTTTATCATTCAAGTTGATCATTTATTTTCTTAGTTAGTTATTTATTTTTTTGAATCTTAACAATAAAATAATAAAGTAAATTCATGATATTATAAAAGGTAAAAATTCTAAGATAATAAATATTTTTAGACAAATAAAATAATTACCTTTGAAAATATATTAAGAGTGAACTGTTGAATTTGAGAAATTCATATTATTTTAGTTCTACTTAATATAAATTAGTTAAATCAATAGACTAAGTATAAATAGAAAAATATTGTATTTATCTTTTTATGTTTATCATTATTATATGAAAATTCTCAATGAAAAAATCTTTGTTATGTAAAGATATTTTTTCATGTTCAATATTAAAATCTTTAATAATTAACTAAAAATATCTTTATAGTATAATTAATTTTGTAAAACTTTAAATTGAAGAGATTATATAGATTTAATTAATTTAATTGAAATATCTACAAGTAATAAAAAAGTAAATTAGATAAAGATAATAAAGAATTACTTAAAGAAGATGAGTAGAATAAATTTTGATTTGATTGAAAAGTTCTTACAGAAATAAAATCAATTACTATTATAAACTGCAGTTTAATTTAGGATTATATAATATAGGTTAAAATTACAAATAAATTAATAATAGTAGGTAATAATACTCTAATACAGATATTATAGAAGCTAATATTTATCAATAGAACCTCTAACATCAAATTAAGAAATGTTAAAAATAGAGAAAATGAAAATTTAAGTATAGATTATTAAATCTTAAATAAAAATAAATGATAGTATTCATAAAAATAAAATCTTATTACAATAGCATTTTAAAGATTATTAAGTAAAACTTTAAATATCTTTTAAATATTATATAATAAAATACATTTTTTATAATAACTTAATTAATATTAATACTAAAAAGTAATTTTACTATTATTAAATTTCTCTTATAAAGATGATCTTAATAAATCTAAGATTATCAAAATCTGATTATTGGTTAGTTTTAAAACTAGAAGTATGTAAAATAACGAAATTTAAAAATACTTGTAATATTTAATTTTGATCAAAATTAATTTATTAAAAATCAATATAAAAGGAATTGCAAAAACTGAAAAAATTTATTTCATCAAAACAATTTGAAGAAACTTCAAAAGATGAAAAGAATTATGTTAAAGTTACTTATAGTTATAATTGCATCAACAGTAAAGATAACACTGCAACTAGTTGTAACTATGTGATGCTTATTTATCACCAGTTGCAACTAGTTGCAATTCAATTTTTATTAATGTTGCAATTAGTTGCAATCCTGTGATGCTTATTTGTCACTAGTTGTAACCAGTTGCAACGCCATCTTTAATCAACAGAATTATAACTTTTAATATAAATAGAATAATAATTCACTTAAATCTTTTTAATAATTATTAATAATAAAAATCTTAATATAAAGAAAAATAGCTAAAGCAGCTATAAAATAAATTAAAAGAAGTGCAATATATTATAATTTATGAAAAAAGTATAATTAGATATCAAATGCTTATATTAATTAATATGAAACTCCAATAAAATTTTTTTGAATATAATAATAAACACTTTAATAACAGGTCAGTTATTATGATTTAGTAATTTCAGTCAACTACTGCTTATACTTGACTTTCTTATATATGTTAACAATCAATAAAATGCATTATTTAATAATGAAACTATAGCATATAATTAGTTTTGAGAAATTACAAGCTTGATATTACAGTCACTACTGGATATAACAAACATCTTTATTTCAGAAAAATTTGTTTGTTATAGAGTAAATTTATTATTTAAAATTTTATTATATACTGAACTATTCGGTATATATTTTCATCCAATAAAAATTTAAACATATGATACTATACTTTATTATTTTTATTATTTATTATCATTAAAATTTTATTCAACTATATCGTTATTAAAGTAATAAAGATTAACATATTTATAATCTTTTATAATAAGTAATTTAATCTGTTTATGCAATTTTCTTAAAATCCTCAATTTTTCATTTACTTTACTAAATTTAGAACCCTGCTTATGTAAAAATTTCATAATTTGCTTATAGCTTTCTCTGCTTCTATTAGACTAACTTTAAGTATACTGTAAATTCAATTTCGTCTAACTCAATATGATCATCATCTTTATCTGAATTTAGTATATAATCTAATATTTCATTATCAGTAAGTCTACCTTTCAGAATCTCATCTTCAATATGAATAAACTCATGTGCATTTAGATCACTTTTTGGAAGTTAAGAAATTAAAATATTAAGTTCATTAACTTTAGTATCAAAACTAAAAAATATAATTATATAAGAAATTTTGTATATTAAGATAAAATTCATATTTATATATAATAACATATCTATTAGAATCAAAATTCTCATAATTTTTATTATTTGGTGAAAAAATACCTGTCTTTTTCTAACAATTTAAAATTGTTTGGGATAAGACTATTGATCATATTTTAGCTACATTTAACAAAGTAACATAGATAGTATAACTAGAAATTTCTTCTGCAATATCATTTTGTAGATCATCATATGCATGAATCTGATCTTGAATAAAAAGGTGTTTATAATGACACTTGAATAAATTGATAATACCTGCATTGCATGGTTAAAGCTTAGTTGTGATATTTGGCAAAAGAAATTTTATAACTATATTATTTAATTTCTCTTGAGTATCATCTAAAATAAGGTGTACAAAAGCGTTATTAACTAAAAAAACAATTTTTCTATTTTTTTTTTTATTATTTCATTAAGCTTAAGAAGAATATTATTAAAGATGCTAACTTACATCAATACTTTTTATTTCAAAAATAGTATACCAGAAGATTTCTAATATTAATATATTTCATTGCATAAGGGGTTTTATATTTATAGATAAATGTAAGATTTATCTTTTCAGTTTCAGATGCATTGATTACACAAAATATGTAATTCTAATTTTTCTTTTTTGTATTCTGAAATAGGTTCACATATTAGAATCCTAGAAGGTTTTATTTTCTAAAAAAGTCCAGTATTATCTCCATTCTAGATATCTTCAAAATTGTAAGATGCAAGAAGCTATTATAAAATAAGACAGTTACTTTTTATAGACTTAGCTGATGATGCACTTCTAGCCTCACCCTGCTTTTTATTTTGACACAAGCCATATTATTTTTTAAAGCCACTTAATCATCTTTCTGAAGAATTAAAGTCTTTTATAGATAATTATCTGGCAAAATAATTTGTCTTTATTTTTAATATATTATTATCAATATTGTATTCCTCTAAAAATAAGCACTCCCCAAAAATAAGCATTATCTTATTTTTTTAGTATTCAAAAATAAATATTATCACATTTTTTAGTATCTGAAAATAAAATAAATGCTAAAACAAACCTGATTTATTAAATATTTTATAAATTTCAATGTTTTTTATTTATTTTATTTAAAAGAATTCTTTGCCATCAATATTTCTTTCATTATTATTAATGATTGTTGTTACTATCAATGGTACTATTATCATCATTATTGTTCACCATTAACACATCTAGAATTACCACTAAATTATATCCACTTTTACAAAACTTATTTTATAGATTCTTTTATATGACCCCTAAAAGAAATGTGTTAGAAATATAAAGCATTTATCATTTTTATATAGCTTCTGAGATTGAAAATTTAGTAATTTTGTTCAGTATTTGAAATTAAGCATCTCTATAGCAAAAAAAGGATGCTTAATTTTAGAGACATACGGTATTTTATTTTATATTAAGTGCATTATTAACCTAAAGATCAAGTACGTCTTCAAGTTGAGGCCATTTTAGATCACAAAACTTCTTAACACTTTCTTGTTCCTTTAAAACTACAAGTCAACGCTTCTTTTTATTTAATATATCTATAATTGTTGACTTCTCAATATTATATTATTATGCAAGCTTAGTATTAAAAATGTTTAGATTTTTTTCTTTTTTTCACAAAGTTCACATTTTGTGCAGCAGTAATATTAACTCTCTTTCTTTTAGTTGACATTATTTTATTAGAGTTTTTCAAATCCTGATGATCATCTAATTTAAAGTTTAGATCATAAGATTTACGTGATCATTTAATATATTGAATATAGGACTATTATACTTGAGCTAGCTCTTATAAGTTCAATTGTAATATATAGCATTTTATTATATTATTTTATTATATCTAGTATAATTTAATATAAAATAATCAATTCTGTCTAACTTAGTTTAGTATAATGAATTTTCAGTATAATCAGTTTCATTATATTTAATGGTAACTGTATATAATAACGATTTAAGAATTCTAAAAAATAACAGGATTTAGAAATACTTTTTCAAGACTATATAATGGTAAGTTAATTAGAAAATACTGATCTATGGCTGCTTATCTAAACTTATTTAGATTTAGCAAAATATCTAAACTATAGGTTTGTTAATTTTTTACTAAAATTTTAATATAATTTTACATTTTTATAAGCTTTGATATAGTTTTACCTTTACAGAATTTTATAGATTTTTAATAAGATTTTAATATAATTTCGCTAAATTTTACTTTTTTCTATTTAGACGACTTGCAAAACCTCTAGGTTTCATTTAATAATCTTATGCTAACCTTATGAATTAAGAATAAGTAAAGCAAAATAGAATATAATAAATTTTTAATACTACATTTATTTTAACGAAGTAAAATAATATTAATATAATTAATATAAATTAATATAAATCTTTAAATATACTTGTTATTAAAATTTAAGTTTTATATATAAATATTAAAATTAAAAAGCTAAATTTAATATAGTACATAGTCTTGAGGTATAGGTAATACTAATAAGAAATATATGCATTATATTAATAATAAATCTTTAGATTAAATCAGATTAATCATAGTTCAATAGAAACTGTTTAAGATATTTTATTTAAAAATGATCAAAAATTGCTTTTTCTTTCTATAGCAATTTTTATTTTTGTTTAATTTACATTAGTTCTACTATTGTTATATCAGAGAAGATCAAAACTATTTTAATTATATCTATTTGAAATATCTGAAAGAGTAATTATAGTCAACTCTTGATATAACAAATTCTTAATATATGAACTTTTGATATAATGAATTTTTTGAACAAATATAATAAATATTCTTATTATAGTGAATTAGCCAATTAAATCTCTTAAAATCTTCACTATAACCTTATAGTAAAGCTAAGGTCTAAGATATAAAATTCATTATAACAAGAGTGATTATATAGAGTAATATGTTTATGCCTATAACTTTTAATTAATCTTATATAAATTATTATTTATATAAAATCTAGGATTTACTTAACAAACTACTGTAATAAATCTTAAAAACAAAGAATTTACAGTTAGTCTTTCTTTTGTGATAGTGTCTCAGATTTGTATCTTTGAAGATTTTCTTTTCAAATTATTTGACTTCAAGAAACTTTAGCAGATCAAAGAATTAAAGACTATAAAAGGTTGCAAAAAAGAAAAAATAAAGAAGACTATTTATATAAAATTAAAGCATACAACTGTAGCAAAAGTTTAGATAGAATTTTTTTAGTTTTTTTGAAGCATATAACTAATAATGCATATAACTTTATGAATAAAAAAAAGTATGTTTATAGATATTAGACACAAAAACATTTTATTATTTTTTTTTAATAGTATATAACTTCAAAATGTATAAAAAATACAATATTTAGAAAACAGTTAATTAAGAAATGGAAAGTTTTATTTAAAAAAGTATTTTTTCATTCAGATATGGTAATTTTCAGTGATATAACAAAATTATTTATTATTAATCAATCAGATCAGTATGGATAATATGATGTGATAAAATAATCAGAAATATTTATGTAACTGAGTTCTTTTCACTAATATGCTTTGCTTTAGATATTTATATAAGTTTCACATACTCTTAAAATTTAATTGCACATGATCAACTATAATATTTATTGATTATATTTTTTCACACGTTTTTTGGATTTTTTTTAAAATTATTTTGCATTTTTGAAACTTTTTTTCTTAATATATACTAAATAAAAATAATCATCTTGAACCTCATCCTTCAATAAGAAGAGAAATTTTTTTGTAATAAACATGTTACGTTTCTACTCATTGAGAATAAAAATGTTTGAAAATTAGAGTGAAAATATAAAAAATGAGAGGAAGGTTAAAATTTTACTTTGGTTGCAAAATGACAAAAGTTATTTTTAGAATTACAGAGGGTCATCAAAAGTCTCTGAATGCTTTTTGGCTTAATAAATCATTTAAAATTTTAAATTTTAATTAAATATTTTATTAAATATTTATTACAAATGACATATAAAATAAATTTCATACTAATTAATTAGTACTTAGTCAGGTTTTCATTTACTTCAATAATAGCTCAAATTTGTTATGTTATACTAATGACCAAATTTTTGATAGTATATATTAAAATTTCTCTTTATAACTTCTTAATATGCCGCTTTAGTTTAGTAATGTTAGAAGACATTTTTTTCCTTTCACAGATGCTTTCCTTAACATCAGCCCATAGATTTTCAATCAGGCTGATGTTTGGACTTGAGCAGGTTATAAAAGAATATGCATATCATTTTCTGCATAAAAATTTTTCATCTGCTTTATATTGTAAGGCTGAAAATTATCCTCCTGAAAACTATTATCACAATTTGAAATACATTTTTAAAGTATGATTCATATAAATAAGGTTCAAAACGTTATATGACTGTAGAATTGCTAAGTCACATAAAATTGTTGATATTGAATCACACCTAAAAAGTAATATTCAGAGACTTTTGATAATCCTTTGTATTTTATTTGTAGTCATAATAAAGAATATTTCTTATTGCATAAAAACTATATGTGTATATTTGAATAAGTGTAATTTATATAATAAGTTTGTTACTATTTTATAAAATAACATATTATGTGATTAAATTATATTTAAAGTTAATTACATATAGGATAAATATTAATTAACCTGATTAATTAATTGAGAAATAGTTAACCATTTTGGTTAATTTTGAATTAACTAATCAAATTAAAGGAAAATTGACTAATAAAATTGATAGATTAATATAAATAATAAATTATTTTTTTTTTTATTTAATATTTTACAAAGTTTAATATTAAATATATAAATTTTCTTTTTTAATTTTTTTAATATGTAAAATCTAAAATTGTATTAAATAGCTTTGCTTGTTCTTCTTATTCTTGTTACTTTTAACTTATCAAATATTTGATTTATAAATAAAGTCAACATTTTTAAAGTATATTTTAATAATTTCTTTAGTTTTTTTATTCAAAATAATAAAAAAGAAAAGAACTATTTGGAATTATTTTACAATTATTACATAAAGTTCAATAGAAAATAATGAGATTAAATCAAGTTTATATCTTTCTATAAAATGTAATTATTATTTTAAAGTTTTCAATAGAGCTGTTTCTTTAAGAATGTAAATT